AGAGTATAGAGCCGTTGTTGATTTTTGTGCTGGAGGAGAGAAGTGTCCAAAAATGATTTGTTGATAGTGAACAACATGTGGACCATTCTCCCCCTCATGACGATCCGATGCTTCGGGGCGTCATGCCTTTATTCTTTTATTCTGGATAACAAAAACTAAAAGGAAAAAAGATCAGATAAAAACCGGAGACACCATAGTGTTCCGTTATCACAACATCAATGTAAACACTGATGTGTGGCCTGTGTAAAATGATAGAAGCAATAAAGTTCTAACAGGACTTCCAACCAGTCATTGTGAAGCATCTGAAGTAGATGTCACTCTGGTTGTTATGGCATGATCATAAAGATCAGCAATGAAAACCTTGTAGCCCCCCAGGGTCGCGTAGACACCCGTTATCATCACCATAGAGATAAACTCTAAAGTGATGGCCTGAACATGGTTGTGATTTCTAGGTTGCAACAGCAGGACTTCCTTCCAATCATTGGTCTACATCTATAGTAGATGAGCCCTATGGAAGTTCTCGCGGGTCATGAAGACCTGCAACCGACTCTAAAAGTGTCTGTGTCCTAGAAAATTCAAAACATTTGGGAGCGAGATAACTAGACACAATGTGATCAATGAAAGTTCAGTGGCATGGGGCTGAGACCACTGTAGTCAGTATCACTTGCCTCGGAAGGAGATAGTAATGATAGATGAGGTTCCCCGTGAAATATGATTAAGCACCTGTCTGTTGGGAGACAAGTGAGTGGTCTAGGGTAGGGTTGTGCATGCGCCGTTTGGACAAAATGCAGCGACTTCTACCTGGGATCTGAATAAATTCAGTCCTGAACCTATGGGGAATTGTCCGGAGTATTTGAGTGACTGAGAGTAATTCTCTCAATTGAAAGCGCAATTGAGGTAGCAGACATGTCATTGATTATTGTTTTCTTGCTCACATGAGCCTTCTGCTTCCTCACTCTCATAGTGTTCACTCAGTTACTCACTCACTCTCAGCTTTGTCCCTTGGGTAGGCTTAGTTGGGTTTACTAAGCCATTGGGACTTATCTCACATTTTTCTTTGCTATTTTCTCTCTGTGCTCCCCCTCATCTAAAGCACTCAGTAGGATGCCTTTGAGGATGATTGGCGCTTGGGAGGAGAACCTTGAAAACTCCCCCTCAAAATCTGCATCCTTGAGAGAATTCTTACATTTTATCTTGGTTGTTTGAGGGTTCTGATTGGGGTTATTGGCTAGATGAAGCACCATTCTCGAGTATCCGCTGCCTCTTATTCCCCCCCTCATGAGGAGCCGAATCATCGGGGTCCTCATGCGAACGTTTGTGACCGCGGAGACTGTCATTGCATGTGCTTTCGGTTTCAAGTACCATAAGAAGAGCTCTTTGTTTGTCAGTGAGTGGAGCTTCTTTTGTCACGCCCCGGACCTCCCCGGACACGTCAACAACCCGCCGTACAATACGAATAGTCAACCGCAGTCCAACACATTCATATTATACAAGGCGTCATGAATATCATTCACACATAAGTCATCCATAAACATACATAATAAACAATTGAATACGCAGCGGAAAACATTGTTTAAAACAAAAGGGCCACACAGGGCAAACATGAGCACGCAGGCTCTAAAGTAAAATATCCATGAGCAAGTTTAATATTATTTAAAAACAGAATGGAGGAAGCACGAACCAAGTCTTCTCTCCAAGGAATCACTCGATCAACGAGCACAGGAAGCAAGCTCTAGCCTCAACCTGAAATGGTGGTGGGACGCCCCCGAAGGGGTCAGTACTCTATACGGCTATAAAGTACTGGTGTGGCAGGCATCTAATAGATATACAACAAGTATTTCAAACACAAGACCCTCAAGTAGGGTGATAGTACATTATGATTGTAACCCTAAGTTACCCCGTTTAAAAATATACTTACTTTATATAAAAGTCAAGTAGTCGGCCCGTGGGCCCGTTTTCATTTGGAAATCACCATTCCCAACCCCGTGGCTATAAGCCACGACAACTCCTAGAGTCCAACCCTAGTACATGACATTGTATTCTAGAGCTCGGCTCTACCACATCACCATACAATTCATATACCTCGGGTCAATTTCCTTACCTTGCGTTCTAGAGCTCGGCTCTACCACATCACCACGCAAGTCCTAGAGCTCGGCTCTAGCTATACAATACATAGACTCCAAGTCTACCCTTACATGCATTCTAGAGCTCGGCTCTATCACATCACCATGCATTAAGGTCCAATTCTCAAGCAATCCCTATGCCTAGAATTGACATATCATTAAACTACCATGGGTCATCCTTAAAGACTTCCCATAACTTAACCTTAGTTCCATACTAAGTTATTATATACACTTGAACTATATTCAAGCACCTTTCATACAATCCAATCCCTAGGATCAATTTAATCAATAAATCCCAATAATCATTAACTAGTATTTCAATACTATTAAGATTATTGTTATCAAACCATTATCCTTGTTATTTGTAATTCTCTACATATTTATACTTATGTAGCAGCAACTTAAACATTCATTCTCAATACACAAATATTCATTTATGTATCCACATAATTCATACATGAGAAAAATGCCCATTTTCACAAATAGTTCATTTATACTCATTTAATCTCATATTATTCATACCTTCTCAAATCATTTCAAATTTCATTCTTTGGCAACTATATCAATATTTCATCTATATATAATCATCATAATCCATGAAAAATCATGATTTAAGCATTTAGGTAATCTCATGCTTAACCTACAAGTTGTAAGCAATTAGATGTCAATCCTCACCTCAATTGAGCTTTAAACTTTCCCTTCTTGGTCCAATGGTCAAATCTTTGGTCAAGGTGGATTTGGGACTGATTCCTTGCTCAAATATGAGTGTTAAACAGCCTCCTCAAAGTGCTAGTTCAACCCTTAATCGTTGATACGAAAACAGCCCCTAGAACGGGTGTTTTCCGGCTAACTCGATTCCTAGTTTTCCAATATTTGCATCTAGGTTAGTATCTAACCTTTACATCAATAAGATAACTTTTTTAGGGACATATTATACACTTGGATTAGTGTATAATGGTCTCACCAATCGTTCATATCATTTGGAGAATGAAAAGTAAAGCTTTGGGGTTAAAACTCACTTTAGAAGATTAAATCCTCTCCTGCGAGGTTGTGTTTTGCTCGGACGATTTGGAAGCCTTACACAACTCCGATTCCTGCAAACCAGACCTTCACGGATTCCCCGTCTTGAGAGCTTTCTGTGGGTATCTCACACGCCTTAATTGGACTTGTAAAACTCGAGATATCGACCAAACAGTCTCAGCACTCTCACAGCTCGAGTTCACAGACCTTTGCTCGTTCCAGCTCGATTTTTGCAAGATAAGCCTTCTCTCCTCGAACAAAGACCACTCAATTGAGATAATAGACTTCAAAGGCTATCCAAGGACACCTCATACACGTTATTTGGTTGAGGATAGCTCCTATAATGAGAGGAGACAAACAGCACACCAATTTGTGCGAAAATAAGAGTGGTGGCCCCAAACTTTGATTCTTATCAAGTCATGTGCAGCTCTTCTCCATAATGGCCGGCCAAGGTAAGTCTCCTAACCCATTTTTATTTGTTTTGCAGGTACTAATACCATGTGGAGTGGTTCCCAATTGATCCCATTAAATTTGGGGTCCAAAATATCTACTAATACTTCCAAAAATGGGAAGATGGGTCCTATTGTTTTATCTTTGTCAAAGATGTCTTTTTGTACTCATCCTAATTTATTTAGAACAAGTCAACTTCCTAAATCACATTATTGATCTCCAATATGTGTAGGCTCATCCCAATAATTTACACGATGAAAATTACAAAAGAATGCGGGTTTGAACAATACAATATTCAATCATGTACTTCGTAAAATATTAATCGTTTCTCCCATTGTTTTGAAATTGGAAATTCAATACATCACTTTTGAATTTTTAAATCGAATTTTCAAGGACGTTCGGGTGCGGTGTCACAAGTTCACCCCCCCTTAACAGGAATTTCGTCCCCGAAATTCACAGCTCTACTCGAATAGGAAAGCATACTGCTTCCTCATCAAAGCCTCCGTTTCCCATGTCTCTTCCTCGACCCGATCGCTCTTCCACAGGACTTTAACCATTGGGACTTCTTTGCTCCTCAGCTTCTTCACCTTTCTATCGGTGACCTTGATAGGTTGAACAGCGTAGTTCAAATCCTCACGTACCTCTACAGGTGGCTTCTCTAGTACGTGAGAGGGATCATGCACATACTTCTTAAGCATGGATACATGAAACACATTATGTATCTTCTCTAACTCAGGAGTCAACTGTAGACGATATGCAACGGCCCCAATCCTCTCTATAATTCTGAATGGACCTATATATCGTGGGTTAAGTTTTCCTCGGGTTTGGAACCGAATGATCCCTTTCCAAGGAGAAACTTTCAAGAATACCTCGTCATCAACCTTAAACTCTAAGGTTCTTCGACGCTTATCTGCATAACTCTTTTGTCTATCCTGAGCCGCCTTGAGTCTCTCTCGAATCAACTTCACCTTTGATTTGGTGACCTCAACCAACTCAGTACCCTCGAGTTTGGCCATGCCAACCTCGTCCCAGCATAACGGTGTACGGCACCTCCTCCCATACAATGCCTCGTATGGAGGCATGCCGATGCTTGCCTGATAACTGTTGTTATAGGCAAACTCCACAAGTGCTAAGTGGTTGTCCCAACTTCCCTGGAACTCCAATGCACAAGCCCTCAGCATGTCTTCTAGGATCTGAATAACCCTTTCAGACTGCCCATCCGTCTGTGGATGGAAAGCAGTGCTGAACTTCAACTTCGTTCCCATAGACTCCTGGAATTTCGGCCAAAAACGTGATGTGAATCGTGGGTCTCTATCAGATACAATGGTCACCGGGACCCCATGCAGCCTCACGATCTCATCCGTATACAATTTGGCTAACCTCTCAAGTGGGTAGGTAGTGTTGATAGGCAAGAAGTGTGCACTCTTTGTGAGCCTATCCACAACGACCCAAACCGCGTCATAGTTCCTGATAGTCCGTGGTAAGCCTACCACGAAATCCATAGTCACGTGCTCCCACTTCCATTCAGGGATGGAGAGTGGTTGCAATAAGCCTGCTGGGTGCTGATGTTCTGCCTTAACTTGTTGACAAGTAAGGCACCGACTGATGTACTCGGCTATTTCCCTCTTCATTCCAGACCACCAGTAGCTTTCCTTCAAATCACGGTACATTTTCGTGCCCCCCGGGTGCATGGCATAAGCCGATGAATGAGCCTCCTCTAAGATGGACTTTCGGAGCTCATCATCTGACGGTACACACACTCGGTCACGAAATAACAAGAGACCATCATCTCTTTCCCTGAAATCCTCCACCGGCCCCGCTTGCATGCGTTCCCGGACCTTCATAAGTTCTTCGTCGGCTTCCTGACCCTTCTTGATCTCATCAAGTAAAGTGGGTCTCACCTCAAATCGTGCCAATAAGGCACCATCGCTGGTTACCTCCAGTTGGGCTTTTAATGCCCTCAAATTAGTTATCAATGCCCCAGACGAGCTCTTCCGGCTCAAAGCATCTGCCACCACGTTTGCCTTGCCTGGGTGATACTCTATCACCAGATGGTAGTCTTTTATCAGCTCCATCCACCGTCTCTGTCTCATGTTTAGCTCTTTCTGAGTAAACACGTACTTCAAGCTCTTGTGATCAGTGTATATGTGACATGTCTCCCCGTAGAGATAATGTCTCCATATCTTCAGTGCAAATACCACTGCCCCGAGCTCCAAATCATGAGTAGGATAATTCACCTCATGCTTCTTCAATTGTCGTGAAGCATAGGCGATTACCCTCCCATTCTGCATCAGTACACATCCGAGCCCTTGGATGCTCGCATCGCTATAGACATCGTACCCCACACCTTGTTTGGGTAATGCAAGTACCGGTGCCTCAGTCAATCTCTTCTTTAGTTCCATGAACCCCTTCTCACATTTGTCATCCCATACAAACTTAGCTCCTTTACGAGTGAGCTTCGTCAATGGCGATGCCAAAACAGAGAACTTTTCCACGAACTTTCTATAGTAGCCTGCCAATCCAAGGAAACTACGAATTTCCTTGACGTTCTTTGGCCTCTCCCATTCAGTGATGGCTTCTATCTTCTTGTTATCAACAGCAATCCCCGATCCCGAAACCACGTGCCCGAGGAAGCCAATCTCCTTTAGCCAAAATTCACATTTAGAAAATTTGGCATAGAGTTGCTTCTCCCGTAGTGTTTCAAGAACAAGTATCAAGTGCTCCTCATGCTCTTCTTCACTCTTTGAGTAAATCAAGATGTCATCTATGAACACAATCACGAATCGATCCAAGTATTTATGAAATACTCGGTTCATCAAGTCCATGAATGCCGCCAGGGCGTTTGTTAACCCAAACGACATAACAAGGAACTCAAAATGCCCATACCTTGTGCGGAAAGCACTCTTTGGTATGTCATCTTCCTTAATCTTCAATTGATGGTACCCCGACCTTAAGTCAATCTTCGAAAACACGGTTGCTCCTCGTAGTTGATCAAACAAGTCATCAATCCTAGGCAACGGATACCTATTCTTGATTGTGACCTTGTTCAGTTGACGATAGTCAATGCACATTCGAAGTGTCCCATCTTTCTTTTTCACAAAAAGAACCGGTGCTCCCCACGGGGAGTGGCTTGGTCTAATGAAACCGTTATCCAAAAGCTCTTGCAATTGGGTTTTTAACTCGTTAAGTTCAGCGGGTGCCATCCGGTATGGCGGTATGGAGATTGGTTTGGTACCAGGCTCGACCTCGATCACAAATTCAATCTCCCTGTCAGGTGGAAGCCCCGGTAGGTCTTTAGGGAAGACATCCGGATACTTACAAACCACCCTCACATCATCGATGTTCGTTCCCTCTTTGGTTTTGTCAACCACGTATGCTAGATATGCGTGGCATCCCTTCCTCATCATATTTCTCGCTCTCACGGCGGATGTGATACAACTATTTGATTTGCCGCGGTCCCCCTCGAAGCGTAGGGTGTCCCCATGCGTGCCTTCGAGTTCCAACACCTTTGTGTAGCAATCTACCCTAGCATGATGCTTTTCTAGCCAATCCATCCCTAGGATTGCATCGAACTCCATCATACTCAGCGGTACGAAATCACACGTCAAGGTTTGGCCACCGATTTCCACCATACAAGATGGATAGTAATTGTTTCTTTCAACGTCTTCCCCTAGTGGGGTTGATACCACTAAGGTTTGTGTCATTGGTATTGATTGCATCTCTAAGCTCTCGGCAAACGCCTCACTCACGAATGAACGTTGCGCTCCGGTATCGATAAGGATTCGTGCATCCTTCCCGTTAATCTTTAGTGTCCCTACATTCATGAACCATGTAAGACATCTTTCCTATCCTCCCTACTCATTTATAGAAGGTTGCAATGTTCACACGCACGTTAGAGATCAAGAAGAGGCCTTAACGTCGCAAAACGGTGCGAAAAAATCAGGTTTCGGCAATCTGGGTGCAAGGCACGGCGTGCCTGGGGTAGGCACGGTCGTGCCTGGCTTGGGAAAAAGCCCTGGGCGCTACTGCCTCCCAGGCACGGCGTGCCTGCGGCCGTGCCTGGCCCAAAATTTTTTTTTTTTTTCTTTCCTTCGGGTGCCACTGCCTTCCAGGCACGATTCCAGGCACGGCGTGCCTTCGGGCGTGCCTGGCCAGCAGTGGCTGTTTCCAGCCCGATTCGGCCTAACTCACCCAGTTTGACCCCGGGGTGGCCCGTACTCAATCCCAACGACGTATATGATCAAAATAAGCCTAGAAATGACCCGAATAAGTGTATTACCTGCGACGGAGTCGGGATTAGCCCGAGCATCAGCCTCGGTCATTGCGTAGACTCTAGCTTGCGTCCTTCCTTGATTCACGGACGGCGCGTTACTCGCGCTTGCTCCCCCTTGTCCTCTGCTTGCTTGAGAGGCCCCGGTCTGACTCCGTGTACCCGTCGGGCCACTGCTTGGTCCCGATGTCCTTGCCCCGCCCAGTTGTGGACAATGTGCCTTCAAATGCCCGGCATCCCCACATTGAAAGCATCTAGGGGGGTCGCGACATTTACCGGAGTGGTTCTTCTTGCAATTGTTGCAACGAGTTACCACCGAGGTTTGTGACCTCGAGCCTTGCCCACTCGGGCCTTGGTTCCCCCTAGACGGTGGCGGTGGTGCCCGGAAAGATCCTCCTCCATGGTTCCCCTTTTTGTTGGAACCTTGGGAGCCATGACTCTCCCATTTTCTCTTTTTCGCCTCCTCGGCGTCTCTCTTCTTCCGTTCCTCCCACTGTTTCTCCCCTTTCAATGCTTGTTCAACCACTTGGGCGAAAGTCATATTAGGCAATTGCGTTGCCCTATCACGTATCTCCAAGTCAAGAGCGTCCCAAAAGTGGTTCACCATGCGGTTCTCGTCACAAGCATACTCCGGTATGTAGTCGGCGAGATCCCGGAACTTGTACTCAAGCTCCTTCACTGACATGTTACCCCCTTGGGTTAGGAGGGTGTATTCCCTCACCTTCTTATTCACCTCGAAATCAGAATAGTATTGGGCAAAGAACTCCCGTTGGAAGTCCTCCCAAACGACGGTCTCACCGTACTTGTTCTTGGTTCCATCCCACCACTTGGATGCCATCCCCTCGAGCAATCTTACCGCAATTCTCAGTTTGAGATTCGGCGCGATTTGCATGTCAAGGGCCGCTTCATTTAGCCTCTTGATCCATTGTGCTGCCACTGAAATGTCCCCTGCTCCATCAAAGGGTTTGCACCCCAAATCTCTTGCTTCTTTGATGTATTTGGAGATCCTTATGGTTGGACCTCCATCATTTTGGCCTCCACGTGGTTCCACATGGACTCTAGATGCACCATGACTTCCTCCTCGTGAAGCCATGCCCGAAGGTTGCCCAGCCCGGCGCCTTCGGCGTTCCCTCCTCTCTTCACGCTCACGGTGATATTGTTGGAGTAGTGCCTCAATCCGCGCTAAGGAGCCGTTGTCCTCCTCATCACTTACATCATCATCATCCCCTTCATAAGGGGTTTCAACCGGCTCTGTTTCCGGCCGATAGGTCGAGTCCTCATAGGACCAGTAGCTGTCACTTTCGGTGCTCACATGACCGTCACTCACGGTCCGTGATTGGCCTCCACGGCCCGCTCCTCTAGATGCCCTAGAGGTCCTACGACTGCCTTGCCCAGTCTCCTCGGGTGCACGGCCCAAAGGGTTCCTCCTAGTTACCTTGCCACCACGGTCCATTTCTGAAAGAAATTTGGAAAGAGTCGTTAGACTCGTATCAAATGTCAATTGACGGATATGTACTTAAGACACATTTTGGCTCGAGTCACCGCCATACCAATTGCTAAGGGTACCATCTTAACAATTAGAGACCTTGCAACCCAAGTACCAAAAGCTCTCCAAGTACAAAACTCCTATGTTCATGGTTTTCAAAATCTTTTCAAAAAGAGAATTTTGAGACTTCATTATGAAGTTTATGGACTAAGGCTCTGATACCAACTTAATTGTCACGCCCCGGACCTCCCCGGACACGTCAACAACCCGCCGTACAATACGAATAGTCAACCGCAGTCCAACACATTCATATTATACAAGGCGTCATGAATATCATTCACACATAAGTCATCCATAAACATACATAATAAACAATTGAATACGCAGCGGAAAACATTGTTTAAAACAAAAGGGCCACACAGGGCAAACATGAGCACGCAGGCTCTAAAGTAAAATATCCATGAGCAAGTTTAATATTATTTAAAAACAGAATGGAGGAAGCACGAACCAAGTCTTCTCTCCAAGGAATCACTCGATCAACGAGCACAGGAAGCAAGCTCTAGCCTCAACCTGAAATGGTGGTGGGACGCCCCCGAAGGGGTCAGTACTCTATACGGCTATAAAGTACTGGTGTGGCAGGCATCTAATAGATATACAACAAGTATTTCAAACACAAGACCCTCAAGTAGGGTGATAGTACATTATGATTGTAACCCTAAGTTACCCCGTTTAAAAATATACTTACTTTATATAAAAGTCAAGTAGTCGGCCCGTGGGCCCGTTTTCATTTGGAAATCACCATTCCCAACCCCGTGGCTATAAGCCACGACAACTCCTAGAGTCCAACCCTAGTACATGACATTGTATTCTAGAGCTCGGCTCTACCACATCACCATACAATTCATATACCTCGGGTCAATTTCCTTACCTTGCGTTCTAGAGCTCGGCTCTACCACATCACCACGCAAGTCCTAGAGCTCGGCTCTAGCTATACAATACATAGACTCCAAGTCTACCCTTACATGCATTCTAGAGCTCGGCTCTATCACATCACCATGCATTAAGGTCCAATTCTCAAGCAATCCCTATGCCTAGAATTGACATATCATTAAACTACCATGGGTCATCCTTAAAGACTTCCCATAACTTAACCTTAGTTCCATACTAAGTTATTATATACACTTGAACTATATTCAAGCACCTTTCATACAATCCAATCCCTAGGATCAATTTAATCAATAAATCCCAATAATCATTAACTAGTATTTCAATACTATTAAGATTATTGTTATCAAACCATTATCCTTGTTATTTGTAATTCTCTACATATTTATACTTATGTAGCAGCAACTTAAACATTCATTCTCAATACACAAATATTCATTTATGTATCCACATAATTCATACATGAGAAAAATGCCCATTTTCACAAATAGTTCATTTATACTCATTTAATCTCATATTATTCATACCTTCTCAAATCATTTCAAATTTCATTCTTTGGCAACTATATCAATATTTCATCTATATATAATCATCATAATCCATGAAAAATCATGATTTAAGCATTTAGGTAATCTCATGCTTAACCTACAAGTTGTAAGCAATTAGATGTCAATCCTCACCTCAATTGAGCTTTAAACTTTCCCTTCTTGGTCCAATGGTCAAATCTTTGGTCAAGGTGGATTTGGGACTGATTCCTTGCTCAAATATGAGTGTTAAACAGCCTCCTCAAAGTGCTAGTTCAACCCTTAATCGTTGATACGAAAACAGCCCCTAGAACGGGTGTTTTCCGGCTAACTCGATTCCTAGTTTTCCAATATTTGCATCTAGGTTAGTATCTAACCTTTACATCAATAAGATAACTTTTTTAGGGACATATTATACACTTGGATTAGTGTATAATGGTCTCACCAATCGTTCATATCATTTGGAGAATGAAAAGTAAAGCTTTGGGGTTAAAACTCACTTTAGAAGATTAAATCCTCTCCTGCGAGGTTGTGTTTTGCTCGGACGATTTGGAAGCCTTACACAACTCCGATTCCTGCAAACCAGACCTTCACGGATTCCCCGTCTTGAGAGCTTTCTGTGGGTATCTCACACGCCTTAATTGGACTTGTAAAACTCGAGATATCGACCAAACAGTCTCAGCACTCTCACAGCTCGAGTTCACAGACCTTTGCTCGTTCCAGCTCGATTTTTGCAAGATAAGCCTTCTCTCCTCGAACAAAGACCACTCAATTGAGATAATAGACTTCAAAGGCTATCCAAGGACACCTCATACACGTTATTTGGTTGAGGATAGCTCCTATAATGAGAGGAGACAAACAGCACACCAATTTGTGCGAAAATAAGAGTGGTGGCCCCAAACTTTGATTCTTATCAAGTCATGTGCAGCTCTTCTCCATAATGGCCGGCCAAGGTAAGTCTCCTAACCCATTTTTATTTGTTTTGCAGGTACTAATACCATGTGGAGTGGTTCCCAATTGATCCCATTAAATTTGGGGTCCAAAATATCTACCAATACTTCCAAAAATGGGAAGATGGGTCCTATTGTTTTATCTTTGTCAAAGATGTCTTTTTGTACTCATCCTAATTTATTTAGAACAAGTCAACTTCCTAAATCACATTATTGATCTCCAATATGTGTAGGCTCATCCCAATAATTTACACGATGAAAATTACAAAAGAATGCGGGTTTGAACAATACAATATTCAATCATGTACTTCGTAAAATATTAATCGTTTCTCCCATTGTTTTGAAATTGGAAATTCAATACATCACTTTTGAATTTTTAAATCGAATTTTCAAGGACGTTCGGGTGCGGTGTCACATCTTTGGTTTCAAGAATTCTCGCTAGCATAATTGATGCTAGGTCATCGAATGGCATGGTAAATGGGATAGGGTAAGAATTGGGTTGAGTTGCTATTGGGAGTGAGAGGATATGGGTTGAGTTAGGGTTTGGATGATGTCATTAAGAAGCGTCGGGGTGGTCCTGAATTCCTGTGCCCGAGCGGTTATTGCTTCGTGCACCCATGGTTTAATGGTGGAATCCAAGAAACGCTACAAAATGACAGAAAGGTCGGTAGGGTAAGGGTTTCCAGTTACAGGGGTAGTAACCATTGTCACAGCATCGGTAAAGATTACCGGTGTGTGGCCTGCATATAATTATTGAGTTATCTGTTGAGTGGCAAGACTTCCGATCATCATCGAAGTATCTTCGATCGTTGTTGACAGGTAAAGTGGACCTGTAGAGTGCGGTGGCGTGAAAAGTGTATGTGTCCTAGAAAAATTAGAAAATATATGGAGGGTGACACCTAGACACAACGTGGTAGAAGAAGGGATAATGACCTGGGGCTGGTGGTCACTATAGATATCCTCGACTGCTCCGAAAGGGAGCAGAGAGTGGGTATGAGATCCCCTAATATTGAAACTACTACCTGTTGGGAGGCAGCAGAGTAGCTAGGGGAGGCTTGTGCATGCGCAGTTGGGCTGGATGCTGCGTCTTTTACCTGGAGACCGAAAAGATCAGTCTCTGGGCCTATGGGGTTAGCCCGATTTATTTTATCTAGGTCAAAACATCTGTCATACAATGTTATTTATTCATCCAGGTTGCTTGATGTTTGCACTCTTTGCGTAGGAATGAGTGAGGAGGAGGAGATGTCATTTGTTGTTTAGAGCGAGTCTCACTGAGGATTTGTCCTTGATTGTTCTTTGTCAGGTAAGACTCCTCTTTATCTGTATCCTAGGAAGCTTGAAAAATGAAGCCACGATTTTTGTACTGAACCTTTCCTGGCTTTCTTGGAGTTGTCGTTCGCATCATCGTCGTCCTCATCACCCTTGTTATCATTGTTGCTCTTTTCAGTCTTGCTCCCGGAGCCCTCATCGTCAGCATTTTGTAGTCTGGTTGCGCTAGACGAGTCATAGGTAGTCTCCTCAGCAACTCGGGGGTGGCCCTCAGCAGACTTAGTCTGATCATCATGGGGCCGGCCACTGGTCTCTGTGTTAGGTGGAACTCTCAGGACCCTCACTTGCTCTCAGCTGACTCCCTGGGGCAGGCTCAGGGGGGTTTATCTGAGCCGTAGGGAGTATGATGTTGTTTCTCTGGCAGTAACGTCGGACAGATAGATCATTCAGATCAGCTAGATGCAACAGAGGCTCTGGTTTGGTGAGTGGTACCAGTATAGGATCCTTAGTCACCTTGTGAAGGTGCTTGAGGTATGGAATGTTGTCGTTCTCAGTTGATAGTCTTCTGTTGATAGTTGGAGTTTGTTCTGCAGAAACGTCGCACTAGCATTGAAAGCCATCTCATATATGGCAGATGTTTGATCTGGTTCGTCCTTCTCTTTTCCTTAGCAGCTCATGAATATCGTCACAGATCAGCGAGACATAGTCATTTTTCTTGCGGAATGTCACACTCTGGAAGATAGTCAAAAGGTAGATGTTGCACTTGTCGAATCCAGTGTGCTTGGCAGTGAAGCACTTGTTCAGTGTAGCCATTATTGTCCTCCACGGTCTTGGTAGTTGTCCTGGCTTGATCTCAGCAATGAGCCTGAAAGGTTGAGCGTGGCCCAGTGTGATCATGTCCTCCATGATGTCTTCCCCGTTGTCCAGCTCGTCATAGTTATCCTCCTTTTGGATTTGCAGCACCTGATGCATCAGCTTTTTGGTAATCGTGACCTTGGTGTCCTTGATAGTGGCGGTCAACACGTCATCTATCTCATTGTCATCCTCATCAGTGTCCTTGTCAGGTGTTACCCACAATTGTTGGAGATACACCTGAGAGACTTTAGCTGATTGGTTCATGGCTTTCTTGGGTTGTCTTGCATTCATCCTTGATTGGCGTCAGGAGGAGAAAAATATAACTCCCCCTCAAAATGTGCAAGGTGTTGTTTGTCACCCGGGAAGTAAAGTAGACCCCCCCCCCCCCCCTTGAAATGTGCTTTGTTCGTTGTAAGACACCAGGAGTGAAAAAGAAACACTCCCCCTCAGAATAAGCATTTGTTATTTGTTCTTGGCATGTTCGGTGTTGAGGTGTGCATTTATTGATTTTCAGCTCGTTGGGGTAGTATACACGCCAATACTCCCTTTCATAATGTGCACTAGTTGATTGCTCACAACTCTTCTTCATACCCGCCATGCGTGTGGAGCAATCGGTTCAGTTACCACACATGACGGACCTGCAAAAGGTTAGGAAGCCTTTGGTACCCATTTCAGGGTGGGTCCATCCCTTTTAGCACAAAACAAATTTTGAAATTTTTGTTTTATTTTGGTTCCTAAACCAGTTTCTTTTGAAGCTTTTGGAGAGCTATATGACTGGGATTCTGATTTAGGGACCCATTTTTGAGTTATTGCAGGTGTATGAGAATTTTCAGCGCAGGTGAATGATGGAGCAGATTTCTGAGAAGTAAAGATTTTCTCCCTTGATAACCATTTCAGGTGTTTAGCTGAATAAACCTTAAGGGGATAAGTCAGGCAAACACCATCACAAACAGTATAAGTTGAAGCTTCAAATCTTTTCTTTTTCGATTTGCCATCATTCACATCACAATGAGGTTTGACAGCCTTAGCCTTTTGCTTAAGTTTTTCCGGCTTTCTAACCTCAGCACTAGAATGAGAAAACACAGATTCATAGTTAGTAGAAAAAGATTGAGAAGAATGGTGTGTGATAGAGCTAGATCTATGTTTATTCGAATAAAAAACAGCACTAGAGGAAGCGTTCTTCATTTTTGAAAGTGTCTTTTGTTTTTCTGTTTGCCTTTTTCTCCTCTCTTATATACACTCCATTCTCCTCTCCGGTCTCTTACTTACATTGTTTCCTTCTTTGATAGGAGACTCAGAGTGAGTGGACACTTTTTCAGAACAACGATTTTGATTATTAGAAGTCTTTTCAGAACAAGTATTGTCTGATGAGGAGGGAGCTGTGCTGAACTGGGATTTTTCTTTGAGAATGGTGATTTCACTCAACAGTCTTTCCCTTTCAGATTCAAAAATTTTCTTTTCATTTTCAAAACTTTTTCTTTGATTTTCTAAAGAAATGTGCAAGTTTTCAAATTTCTTGATTAGTGGAGGGATATAGGGTTCTTCTTCACCCGACTGTGAGGTTGAGGGGGGTTCCTGATCCGACACAACTTCCTTCTCAGAAGGATATAAGCTAACACTCTCACCATGTGAAAAAACAGGTTCTTTTGTGGCATAACTCTTGTTTAGAGAGTCATAACTGAAAGGAACTTCAGCTTTAGAAGGATTTGATCGCTTTACCTCTTCTTCTTCTGCGGTTTCCTTTCCATAGGTAAAAGCCATCAACTTGGTCAATCCTAACCCCATGTACTTTATGTCGTAAAGTTGGATGCAGTCCACCTTCTTCAAATTATTGGGGTTAGTGAGACCAAGACCTTCTTTAGAGTTATAAAAGCGAGTGTCCTTATTCTGATTTAGAAAGATGGTTTGTTCAGTCTGCCCTCTCTTGGCAAGTATATCTTCTAATTCTTTGATTTTAGTGTAAAGAATGCATCTTTTCTCACGTAGAAACTCGTTTTCAGCTTTTGCAACGTTTCGTTCTAATTCAGTGTCACAAACCTTATCTGCTTATCTGCTTCTAAAGTTTGCTTCTTAACTCTTTCCTTTTCATTTTCTAATTGTAAGCTCAGGGAGGTAACTTTGTCAAGATTTTTAACTAACACATTGTAGTTGTTATCTAGCCCGTCTCTTAACTCCTTTATAATGTTATGACAGTCACATTTGCTTACCTGAAGCTTATCAGAATTTTCAGCGCATTTGCTCTTACACAATGATGAGTTGGAGGTATACATTGTTGATTGTTGAATGTTGACCGTAGACGTGAGGTTGATTGAAGTTTTCTGCAAATTCCTAGACCTTGAACTGTAGCTTGGAGCTTGAGAAAGATAGCCTTAACCTTGAGATTTTTTTTTTGTTTTTTTTGAAGATTTTTTTTAAATCTCAAGGTTGACTCTTGGAAGCTTTGATTGTAGTGTTGACCATTGGTGTTGGAGTTTTGGACTTTGAAGTTTGAAGTGGCTCAAATTTGCTCTTGAAAAAGATAGATGGAAAAGTGTACACTTTTAAGCAAATGTGGAAAGTGAGCTTCTTTAACTTTCCCACACCTAAACTCCTTGAGAAGTTTGAAGCCTATAAATATGAATCACGCCTCTCTTAGAATTAAAAGGTAAATGAGAAGAGGGGAGCTCTCGCGCACACAAGAATTTCGACT